AAGTAGAGGGTATCTACTATTTAAGTTTTTCAGGTAAGAAAAACTTGTAAATAATCAAAATATAATCTATTATAATAAAAAAGATAAATAAAAGCAAGTTATCAAGACAAAAATCAAAGAAAAATTACAAGATATAGAAGATAAAAAAAAGTATTAGATATTTCATGCATTTTTAAATTGATTTATATTATTAGATCTTGTATTTTTTTAATAATTATTTTATAATAAATTATTTATATATAGTAATAATTTATAACCAAAATAAATCTTATCTTCATATAATATATCCAAGAGTTATAAAGCTACATGTAATTTTCTCTTAAAAAAATATTCTTTAAATTTTACTATATAATATGCCATGAAAAAAGAATTAACAGAAAGTCAGAAAGATGAAATTATTATTGCAAAAAAACTTGATCACACACATACCAAAGTTTTTAAGACTGTAAGTTATTTCTATTCTTTTATGATCCATATATTAGAAGTATACAAACTTAAAAAATTATCTAAAAAATGATCAGATCATCTACAAGAGGTGAAAAAAATATTGGATAATTTATTTTATTTAATTTTATTTATTTATAAAAAATTCTAATATTTATTTATTCATAGAATAATTCAGATATTTATATAATGATTTTAATACTTTGTATAATTTGGGAAAGAGTTTGATAGTGAGAATTTTTGTTTTGAATTACTGAAGTCTTGAGATGATTGCATATAGATTTGTTATAAATTGATAGATGATCTGATTATTTTTAGATGATTTTTTAAGCTCATATACTTTTAATATGTAAATTACAGAATGATCTACAATCTTAGAAACTTTGATATGTATGTAGCCAAGTTTTTTTGCAATAATAATTTCATCTTTCTAACTTTCTATTAATTCTTTTTTCATGACATATTATGTGGTAAAATTTAAAGAATAATTTTTTGAGAGAAAATTATATATAACTTTATAACTCTTGAATATATCATATAAAAATAAGATTTATTTTAATTATAGATTATCACTATATGTAAATAATTTATTATAAAATAATTGTTAAAAAAAATACAAGATCCAATGATATAAATTAATTTAAAAATGCATAAAATATTTAATACTTCTTTTCATCCTCTGTAAGTATAACTCAAGTATTTTTAAAAGATAATTGAATTATTACTATTCAAGTACATTTATTTCAGATCTCAAAGTAATGATATTTATATATCTTTGAGATTTTATAAATTTCTATCTAAACTCATTTGCTACTCTAGATTACAATTATAATCTTTAAGATAAAGAATCAATAAATAAATAAGTAAAAATAAGAGATAAGATATATATGAGAAGTTAAATAATAATACAAATGATGAAATAAAATAGAAAGATAAGATATATATTTCAAAAAGAAAAGATAAATAATAAAAATAAATGAAATTTATTGCTAAATCATTTTTGAAGTATTTCTGAACTATTATTGATTTTAAAGCTAATTATTTATTGATAAGCTTAAAATATTACAAAAATATTGCAAGAATATTATAAAAATATTATTGATATACTAATTATATTATTCAAAATCACATATTTTTTAAAGATCAATTGATTTGCCAAATTTTTCAAGTTCAAAAAAAATTATGAAATTAAAGAAATTTTTATATTATTATGGTAATAATACTATTAAATTATATAATGAATATTGAGTTAAGTTGATCAATGATATTAATATTCAAAATTACTATCTATGCTTTCATCATTACTATTGAAATTGAATTTTGATATTTATTTGTATAATAATAAAGATGATAAGTTTTTTTACTATAATATTCATTACTATCCCAAAAATCCTTTATATAATTTCTTATAATTTCTTTTTTATAATTTTTATTATATAAAGAGCAGGATATTAATCTATTAAAATCAAAATAATTACTATATTTAAAACTATATTTTAGAGTTAAATAAGAAAATTGCTCTAATATCATTTTAATAATGTGTTATTATCTTTTTTCAAGATTATTTGATAGAACAGAAATCAGAAATTATCATCTAGGTGATATAGGTAGAATATTCATCTATGATACTCTCACCTAAGTTTCTAGTAAACTATTATATAGAATATAATTATTAATATTTTCAATTGTAAGAATTCAGAAATTTCAGACTTTATCCAAGGATTGAGTTTAGTTTCTTTCATATATACTTTATATAATCTAGAACGAATTTTATTTGTCTGAAAACTTGGTAAATCAACTAAATTAGTATGCTATTTGCAATAATCATCACTTAATATCTTGTTGAAGGTAGTATTAAAAGATATATTATTATTTTATATTAATGTAAGTTAATTCAAAATTATATAATTGTCAAGAAAAAAAAATATCACTATTAACTTATTCAAATTTATATAATTATTTACTTATATAGTTATTTCAATTTTGTGTTATCCATATTTAATAAAATAAAATCCAGCTTCATATCTATCTCTTATACTTTTCTTATTCTTATAACTTAACTTACATGCTGAACATAATAACTTATCAATAATTTCATAATAATCAAATTTTTCACTACTAAATTCTTTATATATATCAGAATATTAACTTGATATTTTATTATGAAAATAAGCATGATTATGAGCTAAATTAGATAGTATATTTGCATAATCTATAGATAAAATCTTATTTTCTGATAATATATTATCTTTTGAAGAAAATGCATGAAGTACTTTAGATAAAGCTCTCATCTTTGTATTAGTCTGATTGTTCTCTAAGAAAATAATTTTTAAAGTTACTTGATTATAATGTTTTGAATTTGAATAATAGTCAGTTTTGAAATCTCATTCATGTTATAAGTAACTTGCTTGATTTTATCTATTTCAACTTCATCTTTTCTGAATAACATGAGAAGTTTTCTAGCTTTAAGAGTTTTTTTGTGCAAGTTATCCTGTATAATGTTAGGAAGAAATAGTTTTATTTCTTTATAAATCACTATTCTAGTCATTTTATCTTTGATTTTACTATTAGCTATAATATTATGAATCTTATTTTCAAATTCAAGAGAACAATAATATCAGTTTAAAATTTTCTATTATCTCGATTTGATTGTTATTTTAAATAAATAAGACAAATATTAGGTAGAATTTCTAAAGGAAATAATCATTAATTCCTTCAAAGACATATTTCCTAATTTGTTATTGGAATTGCTAATTTTAATAGTAATAGAATTATCATTTTTCTTAATATGTAAATGCATTCTTGTATTAAATCTTATTCAATAATTTGGTTTTTATCAATTTTGTCATCCTGTTCTAACTTAGACACTTCAGTTTGCAATGAAGGTGACTCAGTTAAAATCACATGACTTTGATCATTTTCTGAGAGAATGGTTTTTGTATTATTATTAACTTAAGGTTGTGATTTCATATCTCTGAATATAATTTCATGAAATTGCGATAAGTCTTGGGCTGGATTTCCAGTTGATTCGCACTGAAGCTTTTTTTCTTTATTTCTATCTCTTATCTCATTACTAACCTGTTTCTTATACATTGAATCCACGAATTCATCAACCATCCTATCTTCTAATAATATGAACTTAGTTTTTAGCTGATTTACACTGATGCTATATTCCTTATCAGAGTGGTCCTCGATAGGTGGTGGGGAAGATAATTGGAATTTTACTGGTAATGATGAACTGGCTGGAGCCTGCGATATAATTTGATTCTGTTTCTCAATTTTATCAACGGTTCGTTCCAGTTTCATGATTTTGACTTTAAACTCAGCATTTTCTTCT